AGTGATGTTGTTGAATTGAAACAGAAGAGGATAGGACTAGTCAGGAATCATCCTATAAATTCTGTAGTTTGTGACCCTATCTTTACCTTGCACTATCTTGATTTAATCATTGTACTTTGTCTGACTGTGCTTGATTCATAACAAATCAACTGATGATTGAGTGCCTAAACCAATAGTGCTACAACTGTTGGTTGGTTTAATTAAAAACAGGAAAAAGATTTGCATTGGTTTCTGGTACTAGAAGTCTCTATACATGATTTAAAAAAAGATACAAAGTTGGATTTCCCATTAACAGAAATCCCTGTTGAAACTTGAAGATAAGGTACAGATTTTGGCTGGGGATCATTGGATTCAGATAGCTTTGGGCATATTTAGATGAAAGAAGTTGGCCTTTAGATTTAGGAATGAAGGTAATGGAAGCAAATTATTGTAAAGGGAACAAAAAAATTTTATTGAAATCTTAAGAAACGAGAAATGTTTGATAGGATCTTAGAGAAGAGTATAGTACATGGCTGTAACCGCATAGTTCATGAAACTGTTTATGGAGGCTTATGAGCAATACAAGTTGCAACCTATGTTACACGGGCTCGCCATTCACCCTAGAAGCACCCGTGTCGACACGATATGGGTACAGGTACGGAATCCGTACCTGATATGGTAAAAAAATTTTGGATACGTTGACTAATGTGAGATGTGCAAGATGTGATGTTGATTGCGGAGGAGGAGAGATGGACAAGAAGTGGTAAGAGAGTGGAAGGAAAAGAAGGGTGGCTCTGCGGGGGAGAAAGAAAGGAGCAGAAAGCTGCTAGAGATTTGAATAGAAAAATACTCACAACACCCGCTATATTTTCACTTAAAATATACCAGCTGTTGATTCTCTTTCATTGGCAGATATGGGATTGTAGTAATGATGGCATCCAAGAGTAAGAGTGGCTTTGTTTTCGGAGAAGAGGTGCTTATTCATTTTAAATGCTCTGTAAATGAGGTGACGGCACAGCTGAATGAGGGATGAGGAATATAGGGATTGACAATGATATTTATTTTGCAACTAAATCCCTGTATTTTGACTGTAATTATCATTTTCAACAAGTAACTTATCTCTTTACAATTTTGCACTTTTTAATATAATTTCAGCCCCTCATACTTGAAAAATTTACCGTTCTAACCAAGCTTATGGTTCTTTTCAACCTAATTGCACATTTAATTGAAATTTTTTATTAAAATACACTTTATACATCATTGTGCATAAATTTTAGAATGATTTATTTCTAAAAATGTTATCCATCTATGAGTTTAAGGAGTGCAATCCCCGAACCCCCACCTGTACCCAAAATTGGACAGATATCTCCAGATCCTACAATTTTCAAATATGCAAATCTGACACTTCGACACGCACCCATATCCAACCCCTGCGCCAGAGTCCATGTAACATAGGTTTCAGCTAGGGGTGGAAGAGTGGAAACAATAGCAAAAACAGGGAATCTAGCTTAATCCAATCTAAGCCCAGCCCTACCATGGAGGAAGCCATTGGGAAATGCATGGATTGAGTTCTTTTGGGCTTAGGGATGAAAGGAGATGCATACAGGTAAAACATTATCTACCCAGGCAATGAGCTACTTTTCTGAGAGTTGAGTCCTAAGAACTACTGCACCTGCCTTCAGTTTGTAGGTGAAGCAAAAATTGTAGGAAAGGAAGTAGAAGTAGCACAACATTGTAGTTTGCTATTGTATAAGGTTTTACCATTTCAGTAGTGACCATTTAGCTTATTTGAAACATTTTTAGCTTTTAACAGGTTTATATGGTACATAAATACACTGAGATACCGGAGCATCTTGTCGAATACGTTACTTCCTTAAGAAAAGAAGTTATTAATTTTAAAACAGCATTTATATGCTTAGTGATGTATTTGTCATTTTTGCTGAAACATAATACGGGGAAGTACATAAACAGTTGCTTGAAACCCTCTTTTATTCATCTAAAGGCTTTTTGAGGTTTGTATTGGCAAACTTTTATGGGGAAATTGTCCTTTTAAGTGAAAATTTTTGTTTTTCTTTTCAGAAATAATTAGCTGGATTTGCACGGCTTCATCCCGGTCAGCAAATACATAGTTTCAACATGGATATGGAAATAGTTTCCAATTATGTTCTGTAAAAAATATGTCCATGTGTTGTAGATGTAGAGCAAGTACTAAGTTGTGTATAACTCCTTGTAGTTTTCTTGTACTTCAGATCCATATGAGAGTATGAAATATTTAGTTTATAGACATTAATGTGGGTTATGGTGTGATATTTTCTTCGTTCTTCACAGATCTCGCAAGTATGGGAGCTTCCGGTCTCAGTGCTTCTCAAACTCACCATTCCCCAAACTTCACCTTCTGAGTGGAGCAGATTCTATCAATCTGCAAATATTGCACTTTGTCCTCTTGCTCTTCTGTATTCTTGCAGATCATTTATGCCGTTAGATCATCCTGTTCTTTTTCTTTTTTCAAATGTTCATTTTGCTCTTTGGCTTATAGTGCTTTGCGGAAGCTGCTCTCTAGCTATTCTTCATTTCATAGTCGAAAAGGAACCCCCCAAAACTGAGCAAATACCTGTAGTACTTGTAGCATTTGTGATGAGTGTATTCTGGATCTCAACTGTTGCTGGCGAGCTCCTGAATTGCCTTGCAGCTCTTGGAGCACTTCTAAAACTGCCCCCAGCAATCCTTGGGTTGACAGTGCTTGCATGGGGAAACTCTGTTGGTGATCTAGTTGCTGATGTAGCACTTGCAAAAGCTGGCCAGCCAGCGATGGCTATGGCCGGGTGCTTTGCTTGTCCAATGTTTAACATGCTGTTTGGGCTTGGTACAGCTTTGGTGATGCAAGCAGCTAACGTCTATCCAGACGCATATGCCCTCCATTTCCATGTTAGTATCGTTATGGCGTTTATTTTCTTGCTTTTGAGCTTGATGGGATCCATTTTGGTGGTAACTTGGCACCGATTCCGTGTTCCAAGATTCTGGGGGTTCTGCCTTGTGGGGCTTTACGTTATTTTCATGATACTGAGCCTGATCATTGCAATGTTCTGGGTATGATTCTGATGATGGCGAAGAATCTAAGCTGCTGCACATACCATCTGCAGAACAGGTTAGATGTGTCAAAAAGAACTCACTTACAGGACATGTTCTCATGAAGATAAAGGAGGATCGAGCAAGAATTGAGAGACTTACGTTTGATCATTTTTGAAGAATTACGCCTAACCAAAGATTGAGTGCGAAGTATTACAGAACCGTGGGTTCCTTTTCCTGTGAAGAGAAACAGCTTTTGATTTTATGTTTCCTTACTAATAACTTCTGCTAGTCACCCTCCATTCTTGCAAGATTAACAGGAAAAGCTTTGATTGTATCAAAATACCATACCTTATTAGCGCCACGTCTGTAATCAAAGGTAAACGAGAAGTATAGCAGCCACCTATGCAGATGCCTATCAAAGAAAATTCTTTCTTTCTTTCTTTCTTTTGTTATTTACATTGAACGTGAATGGTGGAATCTTATAGTAAATGATGAATAATCCATCTGTAGTTGTTCTTGGTTGGAAACACTCAGCCTTTGCTCTTTATTCTGACCCTTTTCCGAGGTGAAATGGTCCCATCTAATTTTCCATTTGACCTTTACAAGTCACTTGGTATTAGTATCAGCTGGTAAATTTGTTGTTAAATCTCAAAGTTGAAGTCTGAAATCTGAATATTGAAACTAAAGTTTTGAAAACATAAAAGTTGCAGAATTAGATAAATATACGACTGGTTGATAATCAACTGAATTTGATTTGGATTGCCTCTTTTCAAAGAAAAATTGTTACATTTTCAACTGAATTTGATTTGGATTGCCTCTTTTCAAAGAAAAATTGTTACATTTTCTGTGGACGCATTTTTCAATCACCTTTTTATCTTACATATATCAAATTGTTACAGTAATTTTTCTTACAAAAAGTCCAGAAAAATGCAATCCAAACAAAGCCTTAATTGAAATATCCTATTTCAGATATATTGTAGTTCAACCTAGAAATAATGTGTTCTATTGTACTATTTATGTTTACTTTAAAATATCAGACAAAATTTTTTCCATGTGGTGTTTCTAATTTTGATAGATTACATTACATGTATAGGGATAATGTATGGATTTTACCCTTATCCTTCCCGCTTTTTAAATTTCACCCCTCGATGGAAAAAAAAACTAGATGTCCTTGTGTACCATTGGAGGGGAAGAAATCATGTGAAAAATATTTTGATTGAATTTTTTTTTATTGCAACGATAGAATTCTTATAACGTAATCTAGCCTAATCTAGAAGGAGAGGGACTCAATATGAGTAGAGACTCCATCGAATCGAATCTTTTCTTTTATATAGTTTAACCAAATGGACAATTTTAGGTTATTTACACTACTGATACCTTGTACCACTTCTCTTGGCTTAGTGGCTGAATCTCTGCTATGTGTACTCTTCCATTCTGACACCATTGGATTTGAGCGAATAAATGACAAAGAAATCCACAAACGCAATTCTACGTCTATATTTCCACATCAGATGGGGCAAGAACTGAAAATCAATTTTTTTTCTTACTATTTATGCCTTATATAAGGAAAGCAATGACAGTTGACAATTGACAGTTGGTGTAAACATTTTTTGTTTTTAATTTTACCCTTAGAAAAATTAATTTTTTTACCTTAATTACCTGATCACATTTGTCTCATTACTACTCTAAATATTGCAATTACCAAATTATCTATTTTTTAATTGAAGAAAAAATTACTTATAAATTGAAGTTTGCTAATGAAAAATTCTTATAAAATTTATTTGTGCAAAAATAAAATTTTACAAATTAGTAAAAAATAATAATAATTTATAAATTACACACACATTAGATGTACGTTTATCTATAGAAGATGAGGGAGAGATGTTGTAATCTAAGCCTCTGCATCTTACGTTATTTTCTTTACATTAAGCGCACACCAAGGTCCAAGAAACTAGTTTTTGTGTAGTTAAGGTCCAAAAAGGCCATAAAGCTAGAAAGGGGGCTAACAAAAAGAAATGAAAGGGTAGGAAAAAAAATGAAAAAATTGGGGTCCTCCAGAATCCATGAGAGATGGAACTCTCTTTCAGTTGCAGAACCAGACAATCATTTGATCGCCTCTGTTGTCCTGTTGTCAGTTACCAGAACCTAGACCATATCGAAACCTCAAAAGCGGACTGACTTTCTTGCATTTTTCTATGTAACGTACGGAACCATCTCTTAACCTCGTGTCTTTGCGGAAGATTTTCTTCTACTCGTTGTCCTTTCACACCACTGCAGCCCGCATAAAAAATTTCCGATTCACCAGGTACCCTTTTGTTCTTTCTCTGTGTTCTTATGTTTTCTTGAAAAGAAAAAAGATAAATTACAAAAAACTGAGAAAGCCCGTATTGGAAAATTTTCTTGGTGCTTGTGGGATTGTGATTTATTGATTTTTACAATTCGGGTTTGAATTTTGTTTATTGTCCTTGTCTTGTATTTGGGGTGTGATTTTATGTTTTCGTTAGTAGTTTCCAACGTGCATGACTGATGTATGTATAATACGTTTTGCTTTGTCCATTCATGATTATGAATTTGTGTGGTTCCGTTAGGATTAATTTTCTGACTCTCACCGTACAATTCTTTTTATGCTGGCTTTGATGTTGATGGGTTAAGGTAACTTTTGGCTGTTTGTTTTTTGTTTAAAAGGGAAAAGGGAAAAAGAAGAATTTGAGAAGGGGCAAGGAAGATGCAGGGATGGGGAAGAGAAGACTAAGAAATTGAAGAACCGAAAACGTGTAAGACCCAAAAAAAAAAGGACTTTAACCACAGTACCGTAGAATAGGTGTCTATGATCCTCAGGTGATTTTTAGACTTAATGGTAGCATAGAAGAAATAAAATGGAATAAAAGATGGTAGGAAAATGACATGCAGGTTAAGTTTTTTCTCATTCAGTTTTTAGGTCTGTTTGTATAGCTTTTGCCGTTTATAGAATTCCAGTTATTTATGATGCTGAAATGAAAAAGAATCACTAGTGCTGCCTGAATTTCTGTTGTGCATCACTACAAGAGAAAGGGCTTTTTACCAGGCCGAGATTGTGCTGCGAAAAGTAAAAGATGTGCCGCAAAAGGTTTTACTTTACAATCAATAAATGGTGCTTCTAGAAAATCACGAAGTGATTTCTTGGTTGGATTTGGAAGTTAGATGGCAGTGTAAGAGGTGCGCTGACGGTATATATATATGATTGGAATGTTCGTGATCGTAACCCAAATCTGGCATGGTGGATTAGCCACAAGGGAGAAATGTGGTTTGATTGACTAATGCAATCTAAAGCAACTAATCTACTATGTCTTTTGCTTCAAAAATTGAATACTATTAGATGTGCTATGCTGGAATATTATTATCTGCAGTTGGTAGCCACTTCTTTGCTTCTTGCCTGATTTGGAATGGCTTTATGTTCAAGGTTAGTGGTTGTAAAAACTAAGAAGTCTCTTATACAACGGTTATTTGAAAATTTTGTCGATTTACTCCCCTTCTGATTGCTGTATGGTTTCTTTTTCATTTTCTAGTCAGTTGACGTCTGGATTGATTGTCGGTGTATGTGTGTCTCACTCTGGTTGGTTGCACATGACTCTGTCATTGTATGTGTTTGTGAGTTTTGCTTCGATTGTTGTGGCAGATTGTAGGATGGGATTTGCAGTTAAAACCTACATGGGTTTCCTGCATTTATTACATTCAGGGTTCTGATAAGGCAACATTTTTGCTTAATGTATTATTCTTTTTGTGTCAGTTGAAAAGTTCTTTCCACATGCAGGTGTGGTGCGAATTAGGATGTTATGAAGGTGGTTTTCAGTGAACAGAATTTTACTTTGGGAAATATCAGAATATGTTTCTAAAAGGCCCTCTGATAATAGATGGAATTTCTTTGGAAAGAAGTGAAATAATGGTCATTGCTGACATAAAATGCATTGCTTTTTTGTCTTTCAAGAAATTTCTTTTTTATGAACTATTAAATGACTTTGTGTTTATCTTTTTGTCAGTGAACTATTCTATGATAAGCAAACAGAATGGATAAGCAAGATCATAGCCAGCCGCAGGTCAGTGGCATAGTTGGTGGCATGCCTCAGCTTTCGTATGCCACGAATGTGTACACTGGAAATCCTGGTCAGGGATCATTGGTGACATCAGTTGTAGCCAGCCAGCCTACTGGTCAAACAACAGGAGTTCAGATTGGAGAACAACGTGCATACCAGCAGATACACCAGCAGCAGCAACAGGAATTGGAGCAACAACTTCAGTCCTTCTGGGTAAATCAGCGCCAAGAGATTGATAGGCTTACTGAATTTAAGAATCATAGTCTTCCCTTGGCAAGGATTAAGAAGATCATGAAGGCTGATGAAGATGTAAGAATGATATCTGCTGAGGCACCAATTGTCTTTGCCAGGGCCTGTGAGATGTTCATCTTGGAACTGACTTTGCGTGCTTGGAATCACACTGAAGAAAACAAAAGGAGGACGCTTCAAAAGAATGATATTGCTGCAGCAATTGCAAGAACTGATGTATTTGACTTTTTGGTTGATATAATACCAAGGGAAGATCTGAAAGATGAAGCGCTCCTAGCAGTGCCTAGAAATGCAATGCCGTTAGGGGAATCTTCTGGTTCTCTGCCTTATTATTATATGCAACCACAGCAGATGGCACCGGCAAGGCCTCCTGCTCCTGGACTGCCCATGAACACGCCTGCTATTGATCCTACTCTGTATGGACAGCAGCCTCACCCCTACATGGCTCCACATTTATGGTCAGAGGCGACCGCACCACAGCAGCCTCAATCACCTTCTGACTCTTAGTCAGTAAATAGAATTATCATGGATTGATGGAAGTACGATTTGTTACTTATAGGTTCTCTACTTGCAATCTAAAGCTCTGTTTCCAACTTGCACTGCCAGCTGAAAATGGGTCTCGCACTCTGTATTCATGGTTTGCTTCAGATTTTGGCTCCTGCTTATTCCCCATTAGGCCTTATATTCTGCTTTACAGCAATCACCGAGGCAAACCTTGTCAAACAAGAAGGATCAGAATTCTGAGGGTGGTCAGAAAAGCAACTTGGGATGTCTAAATTCGTTATGTGCATATGATGTTGGGGAGCTTATGTATTTTGTTTATCCCATTTGAACTTTACTACCATATAGCTTGTTTTTCCTGATGTGCATTATTTTATGTATGTAATAACTATATATAAAATTTAGATGCGTTTTTTGAACATCCAGCGCTTGTTGCGTAGATGCTATGATACAAAGTGTAATGATGATATTGCATTTCTTGAGGTGTTTGGGAATTATTATTGTAGTAATACCAAAGTTGTGCCTGGTTTGCAGTTAATACTAGGAAATCCTCATTTGGGAACAGGAAGGTAAACAGATAGCCAAGTATTGTGAGACGATTTAGAGCCCGAGGCATCAGTTGTCCTGAATAAGCGATGGTGTAACGCTTCAGATCTAGCCACTGTTTATCTTGTTCTAGGTGCCTGTGGTCTGTTTTTTTTATATGCAACATTGTATATGCTCTCAAAGGTTGCAGAGGTCGTTTGTGCATTCCCTTCTCCAATACCTCTTATATGCTTGCTCTTGCTCTTCTTTGCATCTGTACCTGTTTTCTCTTCTCCCTTCTAGGGTTGAGGGGAATGATAAATTTTGCATGTCTACATAAATTTTTCTAGTTTACAAGCGGACTTAGAATTTTCATGATAAATATTCTTGAAATTCCCAGTCACCTTTGAGGGATACCATTTGAAATTAGTGGTGTTTTGCTTTAGTCCAAGGCCAGTTGTCCACAAAAGTGATTATCGTCTTAAACAAACCATTCACTTTTTTGGCAATATTTTTGAGATAGAAATGAACATTCTTATAGCTTGACTGTTGTTTAAAGCTACGAACGTATATATCCACATCTTTCTTGACAAGGATTTGAGAATGAACGTCAAAAGTCTACTAGACGAGGGAAGAAATGGAAAAGGTATGAAAGCTGCTTGAGAAACCTCTATGCATGGCAAGACTAGTTGGAATTATGAAACTAAGCTCAAGAACACATTCCTTCCTTAATTCTTTGGGAAGATGGGCATGAACTAGAGCATTGCAGGCTTATGCTGATTGCTCAGAGGCACAGGATGGCATATTTCTCATTTGTGAACCATCTAATTCAGCAATGAAATCATTAAAAAAAATGATTCAAACATCTTTGAACCACCATTAACATGCCCCATCTTAAACTAGCATACACCAGGGTAACCATTGGTAGGGAAAGAAAAGAGAAAGGAATGGGACAATACCAAGGAGGATCAGTTTGGTTCAGGGGCGGATTTAAGGTGGGAGCACTGGGGGCCCCTTAAATCCTTATAATATATATACATATTTAACTTAGTTTTGACTATGCCCCCGCTTTGCCACTTTCCAAATTTTATTTTCTACTCTGTTCCAATTTATCCCCCCACAGGCCACAACCACCGACATTTCTCTTTCTTACTACACAATTTATTGGTCCCACTGTTTTTGTCCCCACTTGGCCACTTCCCACCTTTCTTATTCCACACCCGACGTCTCTTTCTTGGTTCTTATTTTCCTTCCTCCATCATTTCGTTCTCTGGTTTGTTATTCCCAATTTTCTTCCTCCGTCATTTAGTCCGTTTTCCTTTCTCCGTCATTTAGTCCTTTGGTTTCTTATTCCCAATTTTCCTTCCCAATTTAGTCCTCTAATTTCTGGTTTCATATTTTCCCCTCAAGACCCCAACAGAACCACAATCGGGAGATCATCTACAACTCTACCACTGATTTGCAATTCTTTCCACCAATTTTAGAAGACCATCTGACCATCAAAATCAGGTTCTAACTTCTAAACAATTACTTCTTATTATTATTATTTTAAATTTGTTGGCAAATATATTTCTAGAGCATGAGACTATTACTGTTTTAAATAAATTTGAAAACTGATTAGTTAATGTAACAACTAATAAATGGGTTATTTGATAAATATTTTAACTTGTGAAATGGTGCTTTTATGGATTATGGATATATAATTTATTTTTATTTTCCTTGATTAGTTTCTTATATTGGAGTTAATGTAATGATGAATAGAGGGCCATTTGACATATATTTTAACTTTTAAAATATTCTTGTATGGATTCTTTTGAGTTTTTATCTAATTGACTTGATTAGGTTCTATAAGTTGGATATTCTTGCACTTGACATTGAATTGGATACTTATATTAATGACTTGAAATCAGCTAAGGAATTTCTCGATTTAAGGAAAATCTCTGATCTAGCTCAAAGGTTGGTAGAGACTAAGAGAGATATTGTGTATCTATTGGTTTATATGCTCTTAAAGTTAGCTTTGATTTTGCCTGTTGCTATAACTACAGTAGAAAGGGCTTTTTCATCTATGAATATGGTGAAGAATCGGTTACGAGATAGAATGGGAGACACTTGGATGAATGATTGATTGTTTAATTACTTATATTGAGAAAAATATACTTCGTGAAGTTCAAAATGAGAAAGTTGTAAACCGTCATCAAAATATAAAAACTCGTCGTGAGCAATTGTAAATAGTTTAGTTTGCTTTTGAAATAAAATTATTATTACATTAATAATTTTGAGTTTATTTTTTTGCGGTTTTCATGGATTATACGTATCATTTGTACTTGTTGGTGAATTTATTTATTTTTTTGCTAAAAAAACTAGAAAAAGAGTAAATAAAAAAAATTTAGCATTATTTTTGCCCCCACTAAGATCTCTTTCTGGCTTCGCCCCTGGTTTGGTTGGACTTTCGGTTCTTTCAAATTCTCCTTTAAAACAGTAAAAACTTAATAGAAATATTTTGAAACGGATACTGGCGGATGCACCACCGAAGAATTCGAAAATTCTTCAATAGCTCCTTACAATATTAAAGCTTTTGTTTATATTTTTCTAAAAATTGTACTTGCCCCCCAAGATTTTAGTAATTCTTTTATACCCCATTAAAATCTTATAAATTTTACAGTCATGCAATAAAAATAGTGAAAATGACAATAAAGACATTTCTAGGGTTATGAAATTTCTAACTACCCTTGCAATTGAAAGTTATCGGTTAATTAAGTGTTACCATCTTGGTTAGTTATAGCATAATTTTCAAATATACGTGATACATACTTTCACCAATGTACCAACCATATTTATAACTATCTTACATCTACTAAGATAGTATGAAACTAGCTATAGATGCATTAAATTCTATGAAATTGCTTAAACAAATCACTAAAGTCACAAAAGTGTAGCCCTACATTAGTGAGTTAACCCCTTAGTTTTAACACTTTTATGAACTATTATAGAGTCACAATCATTATTGATAAAACAACACCTTTAGATAATCACTATTAATGGCACCAAATTAATCATGATAGTAATAACAAAAGCGTCAAAAATGCCAAATAACTTGCTCAAAGAATAAGTTCAAATAACCATAAAAACTTCACTTAACAATCATAGAAGTTCATCCACTCACTAGGTTTACAAACTACCAAAACATAAAAAGTTAAGAAAACAAAAACCAAACTTGTATTATAACTAAATATAAGAAATAAAGTGATCGAAGAGATGTCACCTATGTTACTTGAGTTCCAATCTCTCCTACTTCATCCTTAACTTCATATATGTCCAGCTACATACAATGATTGGATGAAACTAACTATATTAAGTTATACTACACTAATGAACTAAAAAAATCTAGTGAAAGAATACATTTTGTGTAGTTTCTCTAGATTCCAAAGTTATAAAAATATGTCCTCAATCCCTCTATTTATAGATGAATTCAAACTCCAAATGAGTTATTAAAATTGATGTGAAATGTTTCTTGAAATCACTAAAAGTTGATTCTACAAGCCTCCATGATTTCATGGGCAATTCCTGCTGAAATTTGATCAAAAAATGGTTCAAAAATGTTGTGTGGACAAACTGTAAGTTACAGAGTAAGTTGCAAAGCCAAAATTAGGTTCCACAAAATGGTTATGCGGGGTAGGTCGTGTAACACCTCTACGTGACTACTCCCCTACAGGTTTGGCACATTTTGACAATTTCTGGAAATTGTTCTATTTTTGCATCAACTTGAGCTGCAGATTTCTCGATGATAGAAGTTGAACTATCTCTTGCACAACACATAAAAGTTGTTGATAATTGACTTAACTTTCCAATATATTAAGAATCATCTCATTGGAGCTCTATAGATTGATAAATGTCAAAAATACCCTTAATTATTCAGACCCCTATTTCAATTTTTGACATGACTGTATTTTAAATTTTTGACCATGAAAACTTATCAGTTGGATCTCGATATCTCATAATAAATGTATCTCTTTGTCTTAACTTCAAAGTGATTCAAGAATCATCTCAATCAAATGTTTGTCACTCAAATTATAGCCAAAATACCAGAGGCGTTGGAACTTTCGAACTTTTCTTCTTTTGAACTTTATTGCATTTCATACTTTGATCATTTTCCACTTCATGTTCATCTTAAATCACCTCAAATCATCAAGAATCATCCAAATATCTTCTCACTTTGTTTCATTTGATGATTGTGTAAGGCCTGGTGCAACCCAATGAGTACAAACAATTTCACAATGATGCACAAAGATATATCAAATTTAAGCACAATAAAGAAAACTTAATTAAAGAGAAAAGATAAGAAATGCAAACCAAATATCAATCCAATAGCCTCTTCAATAGATGGCGATGCTAACCAAGATATACATGTGAAGGCTCATTCCTTCCTCACCCCAAACACACTTTGGTTGAGCCAAGGAGTTTTACAACTATTCTAGATAACCCTCAACAACCTACACTTAAAAGATCACTCACCCAATTAAGAACTATTTTATACAAATGAGGCAACCTTCACCAAGGTTTTACCACTTCAAGTGATAGGTTCACCTTCACCAAGGTTTTACTTCTCCTAAAGAGTAACCTTCACTTGAGCAACCTCACAACCCAACTTCCCCAACCCCTTATACAACCAACAAAGAATCTTTCTACTCAAAAATCTCACTTGTAAGCTTGTATTTTGTGTTGGCAAAAGTCCTTTGTCTTCTTGTGCTTTGGGGTGTTTATAGAAGGTGAGAAATGGTTCCAAAAGGCTCTCCAACGGTCAAATATTAAATGCTGTCAAAACTAGCCGTTGGCCTGTCGGACGTCCGACAGCTTAGTCATCGTCCGAAAAATCAGTCAAGTTGTTGTTCGGACGTCCGATGGGATTTTATCGTCCGAGCTTCTGTGTCCGAACGTCGTCCAGAGAGTTATCAAATCTTCGTGGAATTTTT